GGGGGGGGGGGGCGGCCTGAGCTTCGGCTCCGGGTTTGGAAGGATCTTTGGCTTAAAACGTCCCTCCCTTAAGATCTCGGCTGCGGCTCCGGATCTACTTTTTGGTGACTTGATACCTCGAACATAGAATGGAAGAGCGATGATGACTGCGTGGTGCAGTTCTAACTGCGGCTCCGGTTGTAGTTGCGCTTGAGGCTCGGACTATGAGTGCCGCATCGGCTGGGCCCTAAACCCTAAACCGGGATTCCAGCCAAGCTTGTGAAAGGCCTTTCGGTCCTGATGCTGGACGTCAGTTTTCTCAGAACCAGGTAAAATCCTAGAAAACCCTCATGTAGTCCGTGAGGTGTGCACTCGGGGTCGTGCGACGCTGGTGTTTTTGCAGGTGCTCTTTACGGCTACAGGAAGTGTGTGCACTGTGCACACGAGGTTTGGGAAAGTTTAGCTCAGAAAGGCTGACCGTAAGCGATCGTGATTGCCGATGCCGACTTAATTCTCGCTTGCTTGCGCGCCATGATTATGGTTGCCCTCGTGCTTGTCATGATCACTACGGCGACGGCTTAGTTGCGATCAACTCCACAGCGAATCTGAACATGGCCATGCCTATGCCTGGTGACCATGATTGTGCTGCTGTGGTAGTCTTGACACTCTGGCGACTGCGGCCCGTTGGGGGTCCAAAGTGATGGAAACCCACGGCGCCGGAAGCGACTTGTAGCACCTACTCACCCCAATACCTGCGCCCGAAAACGCCTGTTTTGGTCATCTCCTCCGACTCCGACAGAATCTGAAACCCCGAATCCGAAACCCCAAAATAGACCCGAAACCCTCGCAACACTAAACCCTAAAAAAACCTCCCAAGTCTCCTGAACTGAGCCTCGAATCGAACCGAGCCTTCCCAGGGTTCAGATGGGCTCGTGGTGTTCATGGGGGGCTCAGAGGGTCTTTTGGGATTTTAGGGTTGGTTTCCGTTCCCTCTCCCCGCAACTCCGAGCCGCCCACAGGCGAAAAGAAGCAAGGATTCCGCCTGGGGAGTCAGTGGGTGTTTGAGGGACTTCAGGGCTCCAGGGTTTAAGCCTTTCGCCTTGGGTTTAGGGGGTTGGAGGTTTTTTTGGGTTTTGGGTTTTGGGGTTCAGGGTTTGGGGCGTGTGAAGCTTCTGAGACTCGCGGGGTTCACAGGGTTATGGCTGAGCCCGGCCGTGCGGCTATCCCTGCTGCCCAGAGGTGGCTAATGCCTCGACAGAATGGTTGCCTCTCCGCACCCAAACTCACGTGGATCCCAGCGAACGCAACCGCACACAGCTTGAAAGGCTCCAACTCAAACCCTGAAACTGCATACAGGGGTCTTCAGGGTTTTGGCATGAACTGTACGATTATCTTGATAAGATGATAGGGAACCCGCGGTAGTATTGCAAAGTATTCAGGCTGTATTTCCTGCAGATTCTCAGTTCCCCCACGTCTCTGTGGAAAAGTATGTTGTACAACACGAAGGCAAACGAGATCTTCTTGCACACTGGTAACTCAGTCCGAAACTCCACAAAAACCCGAGAACACCTCAGGAACCAAGAGAAAACTGAAGTGATGGTGCGACATGCTCCACCAGGGCCACGGGCTTAAGCTGTGGAGTGTCGCATGATTCCAAAGGGTCCAAGTACCAGTACCGGCTCTTAGTGCTTACTTGGGACCCCAAAGTACTTGGAGACTCGGAGCCTTTGGGGATGTGCCAAAACCCTTGCATGAGCCGGAAGCTCCCGAGCCTCAAACCAGAGGTTCCGGGTTTATGGGGCGTGTGGGGCTGAGAGTGGCGTTAAGGGTTTAGGGTTTTTTGCCCCCCGAACTCTCCCTGAGCCTTCAAGCAAGCTGCACTTCAACTCCGAGCTGCCCACAAGTGAAAAGAAGCAAGCCTGGGGAGTCACTGGGTGGTTGAGGGACTTTCGGCTTGGTGTTTGTAGGTGTTTTAAGACTTTGGGACAGAGGGCTTTCGGGTTTTGGGGTTTGGGGATCTTGGGATTTGGGGTTCAGTTTAAGGGTCGGGGGTTTGGGGCGGGTGAGGCGGGGTTCACGGGATTTTGGCAGACTGTGGATCCTGGTGCTGAGGTCCTGAAAGTAGGGGCTTGGCTCATCGTGCCCAACCGTAGTTAAGCAGTTAATCCCTAAAACCCTAAAATCCTCAACCCCTAAA